TCTCTCTCTCTCTCTCTCTCTCTTTCTCTCTCTCTCTCTGTATGTGTGTATGTGACTACTGTTGACTCAGTGCAGCAATATGTGACATTTCACTTGTGTATGCCACTTTGAAGTTCCCAGTGTGCTTCACATTATCCTCTTTAAGCTCATTTCTTGGATTTGTAGAAATTTTCATTTCCATTCATTTATGGCATAACAGAGGTTTAAATATATCAGCTAGAAAGAAGCTAAGTTAGAATTGGAAAGTAAGTCCTGATTTTGGATTCCAAGAACATATGTCATCAAAACCAGTAAACCAGGGAGGTAGCATAGAGGAGATAGAAGCTGGCTGATTGGGTGGGCAGAGAGGCCTTTGGAGGACCAAATGGACCTGAAACCTCAGTCTGGCCAGGCTATGAAAGTATGAGAAGGGGAATACAACGATGGCAGCCCTCCCTCTGGTGATGTCAATGGATGTAGCAATCTTTGTACTCGCATCCAGCGCTCTTGGTAGCACAGGGTAGCCAGTGACTTCCAGGAAGGCAATAAATTTAGCCACTGTGGGGTTGGACTGAGAGAACGGAAAAGATGGTTTTTTCAATACAGCAGAGGATTTTCCTGGGAACCTTTTAGATTCTACTCATGCAGTCAAGACAACTCCGGAGAAGGTGTGAGGTGGCTTTCAAGCTACATTCCTGCTGAGAATGCAAAAAGGACTGTGGGCACAGGGAAGGGTTTGTGCTGAGCAAGATCTCCCAGGAATTATCTATATGCCGTCTACTCATGCAGTGTTCAATATAAGTGTTATATGGTTGTGTATTTCATTAATATTGTCTTGTCCTAGCATGCCTGTCCTATATTTCAGATGTTGCCAGGGATGCTAAGAAAAGTGCTTATGTTAACCAATAACATTCTTGCATTTAGTTATTTAAGAAGTTATATAGCCATATTAATTTTGACCAAAAGGTTTAAGAGGAAAGGATTTTAGGAGTATGGGTTACCAGGCATGAGGATACTAGATAGGAAGGAGCTTAATCTACGGGGAAGAATAAGCTCTCTTGTCCTACCAAAGTGAAGAATCGGGAAATAGTAAAAGGCAAGGTTAGGACAGGTAGCTTGAGACTGGTCTGTAGGGTCTGGTGTGCTATGCTGCCTTAGTTGTGGGCGTCTGAGCACCATTAAAAGCTTTTTTTTTTTTTTCATTCCAGGAAGATTATTCTAGAATGTTTATGATAGTTTAGAGAGACTAGTGGGGGAAAAGTCATAAGATACTGAAAGGATTTTTTGTTCAAAATTAAAAACCATGTTTATTACTACTGTAAGTGTGTGTGTTTGCATGATGTGTGTGGGTGGGTGGAGACATGTGTGCTACAGCATGTATGTGGTCACCAGAGGACAGCTGTTGAGAGTGAGCGATCTCCTTCCACGATGGGATCTTAAGATGAAATATATGTTGCTAGGCTTGGATACCAAGCCCCTCTACCCACTGAGCCATATTGCTGGCCCAACGTCTTCCTTTCAAAATGTGTGTGTGTGTGTGTTCATGAGAGAGAGAGAGAGAGAGAGAGAGAGAGAGAGAGAGAGAGAGAGAGAGAGAGAGAACAGAGGGTGCACGTAGAAATCAAAGGACAACCTTGGATGTTGGTCCTAAGCTGTCTTCTATCTTTTGTTTGGACAGGGTTTCTTGTTGGCCTGGAACTTTGCCAGGTAGGCCTGGCTAGCTTGCCCTCAAGCTTCCAGATATCCAGATGCCCAGCTGTCTCTGCCTCCTGTATGGCTGTCCTTGGCATTATAGGCATGCACCAGTGCACATGACTTTCTATGTGGGTTCTGAGGACCTGAACTCAGGTCTTCATAGCTGTGAGCCATCTCCCCAGCCCTAGAATGATTTAGAATGCTTTTTATATGATGTATAGAGAGATGACCTTGTGTGGAAATAGTTAGAAAGGACAGATACGGAAGATCCTCACAGGAAACCCTTTGCCGTGCAAGTGGAAAACTCTTATCTTTTCGGAACATATTGTTCCCACCGGTCCTGTGGATACAAAGCGAGTTTTCCCACCCTCCTTCTACCCGCACATTCTTGCTGCTTGTTTTTGCACTGTGGTCTCCTGTTGTCTTAGCAGAGCCATAGAGCTCTGCTCATTAAAACGGTGCAGCGCATTAGAAGTGTCATTCATTGTAAGTAACTGATTTTATAGCGTTTCAAACCTGCCAAGTTGACAAATTAGGCACTGTACTATTTTCTACAATCTGGAGTCTCAGATTTAGGGAATTTTAAAAATAAGCAAATCCTGTGGCAAATGGCAGCACCTGCTGGCAAATATGGTATCACATGCTAACACTGTGGTGTAGATGATGCAATGGCCCAGAGAAAGATGAACAAAGAGAAGAAAACTGCAGGGGCTGGGAGGCTAAGGAGGGGACCCTGAAGGTGTTGGAGAAATCAATGTGTTCTGGGGAACAATGCCAAGAAAATCCTGAACTTGGGCAAATCATTTTACGGAGGTTTTAAAGATCTGATAGATGTCTATTACTGCACTCGGTGTTTTTGCACAATATAAACATGAAATAATATCAGGCAGGGGTGTCTGACCCCGGGAGTTATTTAGGATGATGTACCATAAAGATCTCCATGTAACACAGTTCTTTTAGGGTAACATTATAATCAGTCTTTCAAGTCTGATAACCCTCCCAGAAACCTTCATTGGCAATATTTTTTTAATTTAATATGTGTGAAAATGACTGTTTTAAATGTTTTCCATGAGAAAATCTATTTTAAATAACTTACTAGGAGTTGGGGTGAGGAGAAGGTCACAGGTTCACTCTACAGTCTTGCTACTCAAATCCGTACATCCTACGCAGTCAAGTTTCCAGCTTATGACCTTAGGATTTAAGGAAGACGGCAAAAGTCTTTATAAGATCTAGTCATAGATTAAAAAAATTCCCTGTCTCTCTGTCTCTCTATCTATCTGTCTCTGTCTGTCTGTCTGTCTGTCTCTCTCTCTCTCTCTCTCTGTGTGTGTGTGTGTGTGTATACATGCAGTCCCATGTGTGTGTAGGGCTGTATAGGTGCACAGTGGCACATTTATGGAGCTCAGAAGACCATTTCAAGTGTTTATTCTTACATTCCACCTAGCTTGAGACAGTTTCTTATTGTTTCGGAGCTACTTATACCAACCTACTGACCCAAGAACTTGGGGTTCGCTTGTAGAGACCTCCCATCTTGCAGATACATGCTACTGTGCCCCATTTTATGTGGGTTCTAGGCATTTGAACTCGGGTCCTCACACTCATACAACAAGTGCTGGTACCCGTGGAAACTTCTCTCCAAGCCCCTATTCACAGATTTGTAGAAAGACTCTTGTACGTGAAACCTCCAAAATGTATTTGTTTTTATTTCATCATTTTTCTTTCCCAGGAAGGATTTAAGACATGGTTAGCAAACCATGAACAGCTAACATTCACAGTACTTTACACTAGCCATGGGAAGGGTGAAATGAGACAT